ATTTATTTTTGAGGGAGAAGCAGAGTGTGAGTCGGGAGGGGGAGAGAGAGGGGGAGACACAGAATCTGAAGCAGGCTCCAGGCTCTGGGCTGTCAGCACAGAGCCCCAATGTGGAGCTCGAACTCACAAACCGTGAAATCATGACCTCAGCCGAAGTCAGATGCTTAACCGACTGAGCCACCCAGGCTCCCCCAAAGTATTCTTCTCATGCTCTCAAGTTTTAAAATTAATTTTTTCAATTTTTTATTACTACTAATAAGCACAGATAGCGACTAAAAAGTACCTTCTGTGTGCATAGTGCCTTCCTTCTGAGGTGCTGAAAATGCTTCGCAATTCCATACAAAGGGGCAATTAGAAGAATTATGCAAGCGGGCACCATCAGAACCTCCCGCAGCTCCTCTGGTTTACCAATAATGCTGTGACCACTACTTGGGTCTCAGAGCGAAAGCTTAGTGGGGCCAAAGCTAGGGCAAAGGAAGGATGAAAGGTCTAGTGGCAGTTGGGGCCTGGCCATAAATCCGAGAGGACCACAGAGGTGATATCACTCCTGTGCCAGCCAGAAAGAAATTAACATTCCTACCTTCTATTTATTGTCCAGGAAGTTGCCAAGGGAAAATTGGCTCTAGGCAACCAGTTAATCAGAACTGAAAATCTCACCTTTTACAGCGAAGACAAATACATGGGCAAATTGATGGCATTCCAGGGGTCAGAGATTCTTGCTTTTGACACGTAAGGTATGAAAACTGGTGTTATTTCCTTTCCCCAGATTTAAACTGGCAAACTCACCTATTCTAATTACTATAGGCACAGCAAACACCACATTGGCAGGAAGCATAACATTTTTTTCGGAGTCACGAATTTATTTTCAGGAAATAAATGTATTTAAGTGAATTGTGACAAATTTTAAATTAAATAAAATTTAAACTTTTAATAAATTTATTAAATTTTAATGAGCCCATTTAATAAATCTTAAGTACATTTAACAGATTTAACTTTGTTGAAAAAATAAGATTACAAGGAACTGGAACACTCCAGGAAAACCCGATGTACGAGGGCGCATTTACATGACCAAAACCAGAATGTGACCTCACTGGAGACATGGCTGCTTATGTTAGCACTGCTCTTGAGTTGACTTGTTTTCCTGTACCGGCAAAATCCAACTGGGTCACAAATTCGTTGCCAGATTCTGCCTTTTCTTTTTTTAATATTTAAGATGGGTGTGCCTAAAAGGTAAATTATTCACAGCAAATTAAAGCAGAAGTCAGTATATAAAATCAGACTTACATTTGTTTCCATGGTGAATTGTTTATTCACTCACTCAGTAAATATTTAAGGGAACTGTAAGTAGAGAAAAGAGGGAGCCTGATCACTGTCCTCACAAAATACAGCCCAGTTGGCTTTCTGGTTCTTAGCCCCAACTTCACATTAGAAAAACCTGGGTGGGTTTTTCAATATACTATTTTCCAGGTCTCCACTCAGTCAGACATCCAGGAGCAGAAGGCTAGGGAATGGGCATTTTTTTTTTAAAGTGTATTTCATTTATGTACGCATGTATGCATGTATTTAGAGAGGGTGCGTAAGTGGGTGAGGGGCAGAGAGAGGGAGAATCCCAAGTAGGCTCCACACTGTCAGAGCAGAGCCTGATGCAGGGCTCAAACTCACGAACCATGAGATCACGATCTGAGCCAAGGTTAAGAGTAGGAGGCTTAACCGACCTAGCCACCCAGGCAACCTGGGAATGAGCATTTTAAAAATCCCTCCATGTTTTCTGATACACAGCCAGGCTGGAAACCACTGAATGAGCCAACTAAGATGATGTGAGAGGCACAGGCAATTGACAATCTGCTTTTTCTTTCTTCTTCTTTTTTTAAATGTTTATTTATTTTTGAGAGAGAGGAGGACAGAGGATCCAAAGCAGGCTATGTGCTGACAGTAGAGAGCCCAATGTGGGGCTTGAACGCAGGAACCATGAGATCATGACTTGAGGCAAAGTTAGATGCTTAACTGACTGAGCCACCCAGGTGGCCCAACAATTTGATTTTTCTGATG